CATGGTATAAGAATAAGGGTATGCTCACGCCGTGGACACCCACTGCGCAGTCAAAGCGTGACGTCACTCTCGGGGCCAATCAGATCGCCCAAACGAGAACATGGTGGCTCCTGATACTTGACATGGTTAATGTTCGGTGATACATACGATACGTACACAATGTCCTGTTGTATAAAAGGTTGTGGCAATTATTATCGCAAAACAAAATTGCTTAACGGAAACAGCATAAAATATTTTTCGTTTCCGAAAGATTTAACGATTGCATCTAAATGGCTTGTTGCATGTGGAAATCAAAACGTTAATATTAAAAAAGGTAAGATTTTGTATTTCTTGTAAATGTACAAATGTAACGAAATCAACTGTATATAATTTTGCTAAAGAAATACAACTAAAGAAATACAACTAAAGAAATACAATATATATATCTCTGAAGGAAAAGGTATTAACATTTTTATATATTTGTTTCATAATAAATTCTTCTATCTTTGTTGAGTTTGTAATGTTTACTTATGGTTACATTTTGTTACAAGATATTCATTAGTTCTTAAATTATTTAAAAACGTATTTTTCCTGTAAACTTTAAATCAAAATAAAATAAAATATCTGACGAAAATGCTGCTAACATAAGTTGTTTGGAAACAGCAGTTTTTAATTTACCGCTTGTTTGTGTGACGTCACACTTTGACAATTTTAATTGGTCGCATGCGCGTGAGCATACCCTTATTCTTATACCATGTACTGTGCCATGAGCATGAGCATACCCTTGTGTGGTCTTGCCGCAGGGCCACATAGTTCAAGGGGGCTGGATCTTAGGTTATTTTCTTACAATATATTAAATGATGGCAAATAATAATAATAATAGCAAGAGTTCTTTTATTACCGCACCTGGCTTCTGTCCCGATTGCGGTTCAATTTTACCTTTGCTCGGAGAAAGAGGAGGAGTTAAATGTTACACATGCAAAAGAGAATGGGATGCTGCAGGTCAGTTTTAAATAAATATATATTTCAACATAAAAAGAATACATAAATAGGTTGTACGATAATTAAAAAAATTCTACAAAACACTATGAGATTGCATTAGCAATCCTTTATATGAAAGCTAAGAAATAAAAATTTACATTAATTTCAATTATTAATTTTTATTATGTTCTAGTTTTTGGTGATATGGAAATGACATATACACTCCATTTTAATACTAAGCATACTTATGCTTCAATAGAGAAAAATGAGGATAGTAATAAAAATGTCGCAGATGGACCAACAGTTGAACGAGAATGTCCACAATGTAATAATAATAAAATGTCCTATGCAACATTGCAATTAAGATCAGCTGATGAAGGGCAAACTGTATTTTTTACATGTACCAAATGCAAGTACGTATCTGTATATAGTAATTATTATTGATTTAGCATTCAAACATTATTTTTACAATAAATTTAGTTTTTATGTTGCTAGTACTTTATCAATAAATCATTTTATTTGCAGGTTCAAGATAACAGAGAATTCTTAATATAAACTTAATATAAAAACTATATTTTATTTTATAAGCACACACATGTGCATAACTGAATAAATAAAAAAACCTTATAATAATAAAATCACTTAAGACTCTCCTTACAATTTAAATATAAATTGGAGAGAATAAAGGGCAATAGGAGTTGAATGCATAAGACGCCGCGTGATTAAAAACACCACTAATAAGTGACAAAATCACTTATTCGAATAACACTCTTTACATGTTTCGGCTAACTTTTTAGCCCTCTTCCGAGAACAAACTAATTAATATAACTAATCAATACAATTTTTTAATCATTGGTGAGCTCTTTCATGTCGTGATAATTAAGATACAGAAAAATCACTTATTCGAATAACACTCTTTACATGTTTCGGCTAACTTTTTAGCCCTCTTCCGAGAACAAACTAATTAATATAACTAATCAATACAATTTTTTAATCATTGGTGAGCTCTTTCATGTCGTGATAATTAAGATACAGAATAAATAATAGACAAAACTAAATGGATAAAAAAGAAGAAAAATAGAAAAATTAAAAGTAATAGAAATAATAAATTGTGAAAATTAATTTCCAAAGAACTAAGATTATAATAAATCATCACGAGAATAAAGGAACTCACCATGATTACAAAGTACTGCATCGCAAACAATACTGACATTAGCCAATGCTATACACACACAGTAATAAGTTGTTTTGGCTTTTGTGAATTGTTTACTTTCTTTCATTTTACACTGTTGACCAAAATTTAATTAATTAACTTCTGTTTTAACATTGACTGACCAGCATATTAAGAACCGGTTTTTAATTAATATTAGTATTGTTTGCGATGCGGTACTTTGTAATCGTGGTAAGTTCCTTTATTCTCGTGATAATTTATTATAATCTTAGTTCTTTGGAAATTAATTTTCACAATTTATTATTTCTGTTATTTTCAATTTTTCTGTTTTTTTTTTTTTTCATCCATTTAGTTTTATCTGTTATTTATTCTGTATCTTAATTATCACAACGTGGAGCTCACCAATGATTAAAAAATTGTATTGATTAGTATATTGATTAGTTTGTTCTCTGAAGAGGGCTAAAAGTTAGCCGGACATGTAAGAGCGTTATTATTATAATAAAGGTGCATTATTCGAATAAGTAATTTTTGTCACTTATTAGTGGTGTTTTTAATCGCGCGATGTCTTCTACGCCCGACTCCTTTATTCTCTCCAATTTGTATTTGAATAAATAAACAAAAGTATACATATGTATAATTACATACGATGTATTAATAAGTATTAATTTAATTTTGTTTACAAAGTGTTTGAACAATACATATCTGTATAATATGTATTTACAGTTTGTACAATATAATAATACACACATGCATGTGCATGTAAAATTGTTTATAATATGCAGTCTATTACATTACTCTTGTGTCGCTATTGAGAGCAATATATTGGCCATATTGCAAATATCAGTATCAGTTGTGTGTGATAATTCTGCCAATTTCGCTACAAAAATTTGCTCCTCCGTAGTATTTGTATCCAAGCATAAAAAAAACGTTGTGCAATACACTATTGCTGCACTTAAGTAAAGTACATTTGATTTCAATGATATCAACTTCCTGGCTACACATTCTGCATTTACAGTATCTTTGTGCATGTAATATAAATGAATTTGCGAATATAATCTGTCATGCTGGAAATGTGTACAGTTTACAATTAGTGAAATATGTATTGTATAAATTGTCGATTACATGAAGACATAAATTAGATGATGTGTCTAAACCTTTAGATAAGCCAAATCTAACAAATTTTTCGAAACGTTAAACGTATTTGGCATTTCTCCAAGACCTGTCGCTGCCAGAAGAATTTCGATATAGTGTAATGGTGTATAAAGAGGCATTGCACATCCTACTGTTTTAAAAACTTTAATTTCCGAAGAGGAAATCATATTTCGTGTATATTCAGACTCTTTGTCAATCAGGTATAGAATATTAAGAACCTAACAAAATCAATTTTATTTGTTAAGATTTGTCAATGATGCTTAAATTCTTCACAAAATATCATCTTTTAATATGATACCTGTGATATTCCTAAAGTAGTAGAATGAGAATCCATTTTACACGCCAATTGAAAACATGATATTAGATTTAATTTTGTTTGATTAGAAGTTCTTTTGCAAATTTTAAACCACGATGCTTGAGATGGATCATTCATAAACTCTGTCTTATAAAGTTCCCAAAAGTGTTTACACATGAATTTGTCATATAGTTCAATAGCCATATATTTGACATTTGGCTCTAATTCCAAATATTCCGCTATCTTGAAGGCTACTTTTATAGTAGATGCCGGAATTGCTGCGATTATAATACAATTTAAAATAATTGAAGCAGCAAAGTGATACTGTTATTTTAACAAGTTTCCTAAATATTTAATATTTCTTAATTCATTGTGCACGACATATATAATATTTACTCTTTCATTGCCTACCTACAAATGACATGGCAAAATTGATTGTATTAGTAATCTGTTCTTGTTCCTGTTTTCTCATAGTTTGCTGAAGATGTTCGATCCAATCGTGAATCAACGGTTCTAGCAACAAATTTAACGTTATTCAAATAATAATGGAATAAACTTTTCAATTTAGTCTGATCTTTTTTACAATTATAATAGTAAATAGAATATGCCCTCTCTCTCTCTCTTTCTCTTTTATGTAGGTGATGTACGATATTAATTCATTATATTATACTTGCAGAGAGATACTTGTTCATACTTGGATGTGTGTGAGCGCGTGTGCGTGTACATACATATGTGGAAGAAAGAAGAGATATGATATAGATACAATTAAATTTTGTATAAAAAAAGAATACGAGTGATATACGTACCATACAATATACTTTTCTAGGTATAAACAATAACATACATGTATACATACACACACCATACACGCGCACGCACAAAATTGTCTCAAATGGAATAAATACAACAATTACCAATGTAAGCTGTATCTAAGTCCATTTCTACCGTATAACCCGTATAATCAAATGAAACGTGTAGATAATAGTTCTGCTTGTGGCTATCTATTTACGTTTATGAATTAATGCGCGCCATAAATGTTAGGTGTCACAAGTCACAAACAGGGAAAACCTGAGAGTCGCCATACCGGCCTTTTTCCTGGGCTGCGTTCCAAAACGCAACTTTGGTAAATGAGGCTGCTTTCCTTTTAGGAGACACAAGTCGACACACTTGACACAGATCGACACACGTCGCTTTTCATTTACAATTTTGTTCAAACTCAATCGACACACTTCGCCTCTGCTCGGGAGGAGAAGAGTGTGTTTCGAGTCTATTCAAGTGTGATTTTGATGAATTAAGACAAATAAGTGATATTAGAACGCACTCCTTGCAATAATCGAATCTTATGCGTCCATTAAGATCAAAATTCAAATCTGTTATAGTTAGATATTAAAAGTTCGTACACATGCACGATACACACACTGCACATATCGCGTTCCATTTAAGTGTGGCAAATTGTGTTCGAGTGTGTCAAGGTTGATTTATACTGGCCGTAAACTGTTAATGCCTGGTTTATGCTTCGGTCTTAAGGTCTTAATCCTAAAATTCAGCCAATAGAGTTCAAATTTCAGTTAGAACTGGCAGCTTTATTGGTTGAATTTTAGGATCTTGGGATTAAGCCTGAAGCATAAACCAGGCATAACTTATGCCGTAATCTGTAAAAATTGACCAATCACAGTCGAATGAGAGGGGAATAATCGATTATAATTGGTCAATTTTTACAGATTACAGCATAAGTTAACAGATTACGGCCAGTATAATCCAACCTTTATACTGTGTCGATTTGTGTCTCTTAAGGGTACGCAGAATAAAAGGAACAGGGAACAGAGAACAGAGAATAAGAATTTCAACCTATCAGAAATCATATACTGTGGAATAAACAGTGTGTATTCCATAGTACATGATTTCTGATAGGTTGAAATTCTTATTCTCTGTTCTCTGTTCCCTGTTCCTTTTATTCTGCGCAGCCCTTAAAAGGAAAGCAGCCTGAAATCTATAGTAAACTTATAAGGGCCTTGATGCCTGGTTTATGCTTCAGGTCTTAATCCCAAGATCCTAAAATTCAACCAATAAAGCTGCCAGTTCTAACCGAAATTTGAACTCTATTGGCTGAATTTTAGGATTAAGACCTTAAGACCGAAGCATAAACTAGGCATGACACCATGGACATAAATATATTTCTATGTCCATGCTTGGCACAAAAAACTTAAGGCAGTAATGCCTGGTTTATGCTTCAGGTCTTAATCCCAAGATCCTAAAATTCAACCAATAAAGCTGCCAGTTCTAACTGAAATTTGAACTCTATTGGCTGAATTTTAGGATTAAGATCTTAAGACCGAAGCATAAACCAGGCATAAGACGTAAGCAGTAAGAAAATCAACGTTGTGGATTTGCAACTGTTAAGCGGGGAGCACAGACTTTTGCATAACGCATAAACCATATACATAAACAATTTGATTGGTCCATTTTCTTATGCATGAGTCAATGGACCAATCAAATTGTTTATGTATATGATTTATGCGTTATGCAAAAGTCTGTGCTCCCCGCTTTAGCCCTTTCAACAATGGGCAGGAATAGACGTAGAAATTAACAAATCACAGTCGAATGTGAGGAGGATAATTAACTATCATTGGTCAATTTCTACGCCTTAATCCAGCAGTACTGCTACTGCCCATTGTGAATGGGCTTTATGGCTTTAAACATACGGCCGATTTCGACAGTCCTTTGAAAAACGCCTTGTAGTGGCTCCTCTCTCCTTAGTTTATGCTCAGATATGTTTTATGCTCAGATTTGCTTAGATTTCTCAGTTCTCTGTTCTCTCCATGGTTCTCTCTGATTTTATTATCGACTCATGTCGAATAAAAGTCGAGGAATAAAATTAAATGAAATTTGTTGAAAATGATTCGGACGTGTTTATTACGTGTTTGCGGACTTGTGAAAAATTCATCAAGAAATGGTCCGTCTGTAAGCAACGGTACGACATTTGAACGAAATATGCGTTTTATATATATCCCATTCATTCGTATTAAATTACCAGCTCAATTTATTTTAGTGTTCACTATAACGTTTAGTATAATAATAAACATCTTTTCACAGGTATACATAATTTATCTGTTGATCATATACGCTCATATCTATTGAAGACGCACATTCCTTTGGTACATGGTACAAGGAATTCAACGTTTTTCGTAAACAGTGAGTAAAGGCTTGGTAATATCTTAAGCAAAAAAAGCTTTTATAATAGAAAATAATATTGACTTTCTCTTTTCACGCTTCTCTCTCAGAATCCGCAGATGAATTGTGGAAAGGTGTAACTTCTGTCAGTAATGCAGGAAGACGTAGGGGTAGAGCAAAAGGCTTAGCAAGAAAGAGAGATTTAAACAAGGGTCAGATTATTGGAGTAGGAAAAATTCCAGTACAATTCCCTGGTCTCAATACTCCTGTGTTCAGAGGAAGGGAACTTGTACAACAGCAAAAGCTACCCATGGATCCTGAAAGGCAAGAAAGACTCGCAAAGCTACGGCAAAACTATCAGTTAAGGCCAAAGCGGATAAAAGTATCACCATTGGAACGTGGTTGGACGAGTGCTCAAATAGGTGGTAGAAAGATTGGACCACCTGATCCTATTGGAGATGGTTATTATTATTATTGTTTTTATTGTTATCATTCAGTAGAGTTTAACCACATACAACTATTCTAATACGTACATTTATGTTAATGCAATAACTGTATACGATTAAAGTCTCAGACATAATGCAAGAGAATAGCGTTAGCGATAAGAATAATATGATTCAACCTATCAGAAACTATTCTGGTGTATGAAATTTCTGATAAGCCATGTTATTCCTATCGCTATCACTATTCCTTCATATTGTGTTTGAGACTTAAATCATAAGACATATATATATTACATATATGTAAAAGGACCTTTTTAATGGAATTCTGAGCAATCAGAATCATACAGAATGCTCCTTTACTTATAAATAACTCAGGAATAAAAAAATCTTATGGCGTTTTTGATCTGACCGGGTTTGCTGTGATCTGAGTTGGATTAATGACTCTTTAATACTCTTCTATTGGTAGAGCATGTAAAATCTACCAATAGCAACTTTGCTTTTTAAATTACTTAATTTCTAACCCAGATTGGAACAAACCTGGTCGGGTTAAAAACGCCATTAGTAACATTAAAAAAAAAAAACGATTTTGTAGAGAGAGAAAGCTTCAAGCTTTCACAATAGGTAATCAAAATTTGCATAAATTTTTTTTAGACACATGAAAGACTTACGAAGTAAAAAGAATTTCTTCATCTATTTTAGCTTGTAGTTTTTTGTATATAAAAATTACCAAACTCACAGAAACTTAAAAATATAAGACCTGTTCTTTTTGGCTGAACTTTTGCACCAATTTATCTTTTTTTCTTTTCTCTCCAGGAGAAGAGAAAAGAACAGACTTATAAAATAATCTTTCAAAAGTAGAGATTTCAAGTTGTAAAACTTTTTTATTTAAAATTTGTTCTTCGTTTAATTTAATCTTTTTTAATTTAATCTAAAATATTTTCACTTTAACGAAGATATTGTAAAATAAAGACCCTTTTATATGTATGTAAAGTCTCCAATTCAATACAATACTCTTATATTAAGCACACTCAATATACTATCCTATATAATTTTAGTAATATCAAGATATACGAACTAATTGGTATATCTGCTTTTCAGATACCTTTGATGGCTTTGAAACTTGGATACTGGAAAGTAAATTGGTAAATCATATGACTGGTAATTTAGGACGCAAGAGCAGAGTCAGTATATATGTCGTAACAGGAAATGGAAATGGCTTGGCTGGATTTGCACTAGGAAAAGCACCTGCACAGAAAGCAGCAATAAAAATGGCCAAGAATAGGGCAGGTCAAAGATTGATGTATATTTCTAGATACAAGGAGCATACTGGTAAAAAAATACGATTATATATGCAAAATTTGTATCTCACTTGTTTTTTCTTTATAATGTATTATGTGTGACTTTGTTGCAGTATTACATGATTTTTTTACACAATTTGGAAAAACAAGGATATTTGTGAAAAAAATGCATGAAGGATATGGACTTGTCTGCCATCGTGCAATAAAAGCGTGTTGCGAAGCAATTGGTATAAAGGATATGCATGCCAAAATAGAAGGTTCTACGAATTTACAGCATATTATAAAAGCTTTCTTTATTGGTTTATTACAACAGGTATGTATTTCACAGGATATCTGATCTCTTGATTCAGTGATACCACAGAAAGTTTGTGGATTATCACTGTATCATGATTTATTGTTAGTGCCAATGTTTTAAGAACTTTGTTATTTACTTCATCCAGATGAAGAACATATATATATATATAGATATTTTGGTGATTATCGATCTTAAAGTGAACAGATTGTTTTTACATTTAAAAACTTTTTTTATAATTTTTAAATTATGAATAATTAATAATGAATTTCAAGTTTATTTAATCAGATAAAAATGTACAAATGCATACAACATAATTCTTTACTTATTGTTAATTTCAAATGGAGCTTAATAATTTTTTTTTGTTACAATTATGCGTTACAAAACGCATGATAAGCAAAAAACCAGAGCAAATTTGTCAAAAAATTATTGGATTATTCTCAATTAATCCGACAATCAACCAGGAACTTTTTTTGCAGAAATCGTATCAACAATTAGCGGACGAAAAACGATTGCATTTGGTTGAATTTAAATCAGAAAACGGAAATTATCCAGTAGTGATTGCTTCACCATCAAAAGTAAGAAAGCCAGAAGAAATAGCGTCAAACGAGATTCTCGATTTTACTCAATACGTTTTGGGTGGCAAAGTAATATTACAAAAAAAGAAATATCCTCCGTTTTATACACGACTTCCGTCGTACAAAACAAAATTGGTAAAACTGGAACGATTGAGGAACTTCGATAAAACGAGGATACAATTATTGGCAGAATACGGAGCGTTACATAGTTTTCTAACTGAAAAGTATCCGGAGGCAAAGCTGCTTCCTAAGCCAAAGAAAAGTGAGAACAACGAAACAGAAGAATAGACAAAATGTCTAATTGTTATGCTCTATGTGTATAAATGTTTAAAATAAAGCTCTTATTATCACAAGATTTTTTTGTATATTGAAGTATACGCGTTGCTTTTTATATTCAGGTTTTACCTCAATAATGTATGCCTTATTTGTGAGTTTCTCATATATGTGTGAAAGATTAGAGATAAATATATTTTAATCGCTGAAATAACTAAAATCTATCAAATTAATAAATATTTTAACAATTTAAGCGATTTACTTCCAGACTGGAATTAGACTATGTATTAAAGATTGAGATTGGAGATAGAAAGATTGAAATTTGACCAATCAAAATAATAAAAGCTAAAATTTCTTTATTCCATTGGTCAAATTTCAATACCTAAAATTTAAAATTTAATTAATCTTATAGGCTGGATCCTCGCTTTAGAGGTCCTAAGCAACACGACATAAACGGGAGCACGAGCTGCTATTTCGGGCAAGGGAGGATGTGATAATCGGGGCAAGACGGGAGCCATCCCACCATAGCCTTCTTTTGACGTCGGCTTATTTCGCCGAAACTCGCTAACATTCGTCTCTTACATTTTGGTCTGTTCTGTTTTCTAACTATCTGGCAGCACTGGTCAGTGATCGTTAGGTTGGAGGCGTTGAAGCACATGTGACATTGATAGGTTAGGTAGCGATTCGTTTGTGAAGAACAATCTATTCTCCATCCGGAGAAAGACGTCCAAAGACAGTCTCTTTGAAAGTTTGAAAAGTTAGGATAAGAGGAAAATATGGGTAAGCTAGCGCCTCGTTTAGCAAGTAGAAAGAAGGCGAAGAGATGGGCAAAAGGCCAGAGTTCGAGTTCCAACCCGGTGACCACGAAGCATCGCGAGCAAGCGACTGGGATGTTTTTTAAGAATTTTCCCTGCACGCCAGGCATCACGAAGGAGGATCTATGGAAGCACGACGTTATCCAAGGTGTTGAGTCGCATTTCACCAAGCTCGACATAAACGAGGATCAGCTCGAGGAAAGTACCGTAGACGGGACGGCGATTACGTGCGACACGTTCGCCACTAATTACACCAATTGTTCCAACCTTTCGTTTGACAGGTTCCTAAGTCATTTCCAATCGAGCTCGATCGTACACAAGGAGATGCTGGCAGTGCTGGCAGCCGTCACCGAGATTATCAAGCAGAACGGTGGTAACGAAAGCTCGACAGAGTACTTTGCTGCATTAATGAGCACTTTAGAGACGGTGGAGGATGATACTTCTGTAGTCGCAACGCTGTCTTTACTCGGAATGTGTCTGAAAACGGTATCTAGAAACGTACTAAATTTGCAGTTTGGTTCAACAAGTCAAGTTCTGCTTCGAATTCTGTCACGGTATGTCGTTAGCGAGAACCACCTCATTATGCGACATTGCATAGGCTGTCTTTCGGTGTTGATGAGAGCGCAGGAGGCTGCCATTTGGATGAATTCCTCAACGATGCAAGTACTGGATACTATATTGTCATTTACTACTCACGCCAAGCCAAAGGTACGCAAGTCAGCCCAGCATGGGATATGTGCCATTCTGAAGGGCAGTGACATAATGAAGAGCGAAAAGCCGCCGGCTCATCACCCGGCTGCGGGACAAGTCGCGAAGCACTGTCTCGCGGAACTCAACTCCGCCTGCGCGCCAGGATTGTCGCTAGGAGTAACCACTATACTGCATATTCTTACATTGTTGAAGGATATAATGCATCAACTACCAAAGTCGCATGTAAGGACTATCTGCGAACGTCTGTTGAGTATAATGACGTTGAATAATGTATTGATAACGTCGTGTTGCTTGCAAACTCTGCATGGATTATTTGTCATGAGGCCGTCGGAAGCAACGTTACCTTTCTCGCGAAACGCAAATATTATTAAAGCCCTTTACGATTATCAACCGTCCGCAAACGACACACAGCCGACCTTGGCGTGGTTGGCGGTCATGCAAGAGGCTCACTGCAACCTGGCGGCACACCTGATCTCGTTGAAATTATCCTCCGACGTTTTTTCGACATTCAACTACGTTATGCCGGAGATGCTCAACAGATGCGTCGAGCTCTTGCTATCGAACAAGCCGGAGATCGTCACTGGTACGTCACACACCGTCAAAATCATTCTGCAGGAGTGCGTAGCGCCTCTTTGCGAGAACGAGGAGCGAATTGGCAAGTATGAACCTATTTTGAGGCACGTAGTCGAGATAATGCACAAGACCTTGAGTTATCAGTATATCGGAGCCTGGCGCCACGTTCTTCACCTTATAGCCGTGCTCTTCCAAGTTACCGGCAAGCTGCAGTTCCAGGAACTCGTCAACGTTGTCAAGAGCCTGGGAAATCTGCGAGATTCCCACGATTTTGTGCACAACCGCGACACGGAGTACGCCATTGGAGCAGCGATCCGGGCTATGGGGCCTCGAGTCATATTGGACATCCTCCCTCTTCGAATTGACGAAAACACGATCGATCTCAAACGGAGTTGGATGATTCCGCTACTGAAAGATTGCATAACTGGTGGCACCATCGCCTTCTTCAAGGACGTCCTGCTGCCGATCGCCCTGCGGTGCGAGGAGAAAGCTAAGGGATCTCTCGCAGATGGGAAGACGTATGAGTGTTTAGTAACGCAAATCTGGTCAATTTTGCCGAGCCTGTGCAACGACGCCAGCGACGTGAAAGATAATTTTAAGTCAGTTGCCAAGATATTGGGTACAGCTATCAGCGACCGGAGGGACTTGAGATTATCTGCGATGGCGGCTTTGAGAAAGCTGATCAGCAAGGCAACCATCGGCCGAGGCAACGCTGATGATATCGCAGAACTCGCTCGCTTCGCCAAGAATTATCTGCCGATTCTCTTCAATCTGTACACGACAAAGCCAAACGGCACGGACGAGGAGGGAGCGCGTCTGGCCGCGTTCGACACGATCAAGACTTACATGACGATCGTGAGCAGCGATTTAGCGAACGAGCTGTTCGATCGTGCGCTAAGCAAATTTGAGGAACCCGATGCGGACGACTTTTTCAAAGAGAGCGTCTACGATCTGACGAGAGCGTTGATCGGCTATACGGATGTTGATAGGTTGAGCAAGTACTACGATAGGTGCGTGCCGATCCTCAAGGATGACACTAAGCGAAAGGAGCAGAAGAAAGCCTATCGTTTTCTTGAGGAAATATGCAGCAGCGAAAGACAGGTTTGCAAACAGTTCCTGCACCAACATCGACGTCAGATTCAAAGCACGCTGATATCATCGGCAGTCAGCGTGATCATAACAAGCAGAGGAGCGCGTTTGCGATGTCTGGAGCATCTCGTCAGAATACATCCGCAGCTCGAGAAGACTAAGTTCTTGGAAGCCATTGTGCCGGAAGCTGTACTTTGTGTTAAAGATATCAACGAGAGGTGTCGCGATGCGGCGTATCAGTTGCTCAATACAATTGCTGAAAAATTTCTCAACAATTCCGAACATCTCAAGGACTACGTGGATATGTTGATAGTAGGCTTGGGCGGTGAACAAGCGTACGTTAACGTCAGTCTCCTCGCTCTCGCGTCAATCACTTATCGTCACAAGGACTCTCTAAGCACAGACGTCATCAACGAGATCTTGGAACACGTTTGTACGATTCTCAAAAGTCCTACGAGAGAGATAGTTGAATCCGCTTTGTCCTATGTAAAGGTGTACATCAACGTGATGACGTCTATCGCGATGGCATCAACATTACCGCGGATAATCGACGCCCTGTCGGGAATGAGCGAAAACTGTAAGCGTCACTTTCGACAAAAAGTACGAGACATCTTCACGAAATTGATAAGAAAGTACGGCATCGAACCAATATCGAGTATGATACCAATTTCGGACATCATCTTGCACAAGAGGCTGAAAAATATTAACAAAATAGAGAATGCGAAGAAGAAGAAACGAGAACTCGAAAGGGCGAGGAAGCTGCAGGAGCAGAATAGCGACGAGGAATTTGATGCCAAGAGGAGACCTAAAAGCATAGAGGAGATATTGGCTGACAGCGATGAGGAATTTGATGTCATGGAAAACGAACAAGAAAAGAAGAGGAACAAGAAAAGAACGTCGAAAAAGGACGCTTGGATTCAGGAAAGTGAAGATAATATAGTCGATCTTGCAGATCCTGCAGCTGCTAGAAATATCACAAGTTGGTTAATCAATTTTTTCTCAACTAGTTTTTCTTCGAAAGGTCAAAAAAAGAATTAAATTTTTTAGATTTTTAATTTCTCTATCGATGGAGAGAATTGATTGTTAATTTTGACATACACAATATATTCTCTCTATTTCTTTTGTCTATGTGTGAACGAAACTAGAAAGAAATCAATAAATTCACCTGAAAACTTCTAATTAATGTTAATATCTTGCTGTAATCAATTTCATCTTGTTTGTATGCTTTAGCTACACAACCAGTATCAAATCCGAAGATTCTAGAGAGGAAAACAAAGGATCGTGGCTTTCCGACTGCACCCGATGGTCGTCTTATCATTAGAGATGATAATGAGAAGGATAGCGATGTAGAAAGAAGTAATAAGAAGAGAAAGACTTCTTTCCTTCAGAATGACTCAGAAGATGATTACGGTAAATATTCTGTAATTATTTTATTTAGACATGGCTAAAAAATTTATGCACCGAGAGTTTATTATATATATATATATATATGTATTTATTTATTTATTTATTTATTTCTATTTTCTGTAAAAGTTGAGGATGACGTATCAGTAGTGACCACAAAGACCGCCAGCAAAAAACGTAAATATAGTGAGAGTGTGCTGGACGTGATGAGCTTAAAGAGTCAATCAACGTCAAAATATCGAGGTAAATTTAGAAAAATAATTAAGTTTTTCATTAAAGAAAAGTGTTTATTCTGTACAAATGCAAATCTTTAAAAGACAATCTGTTAGAAATTTAAGACGATGTTTGATAAATACGATATATGAGAAATTGAATTCGCAACTAAGCAACTTCTATAATAGAGCGTCGATAATATTACAATGATAATAAAAAACATATCTTTGTAATGATTATTGTAATGATAAATGTGAATTTATTACGCTAGCTAATAATATAACCGAGACACTACTGTGTCTCCAGATATTTTGTATCAACTTTATACATTTCTCTTTAATTTCAGCTGGTGGCTCGGGTATTCATCGATCGTTAAAAATGAGAAAAATAGATTCTCAACCCGGTTCAGAGTATCGTGCGACAAAAGCTAGAGGAGATATTAAGAAAAAGGGAAAACCAGATCCCTATGCATATGTACCCTTGACAAGGTCTCTATTGAACAAAAGGTCAATAATAAAATTTTTTAATCCATCTGTTGTATGTATATGTTACATTCTCCATTTATTGATATATTAATAAATTGTACATTTACATTTTACAGAAAGAAGAAGAAAAACTCGAGAAAATTTCAAAGCATTGTTTCTGGAGCGAAGAAGGGTGCCCGCACAGGTATGCGGAATAAACGAAGGAAACATTAAACAAGAATAACAGTTCTAATCGTTAATCATAATATTATTTAATGATATATATATATATGTATCATAATTATTATATATTATATAATTATTATTTTCAAATATACTTGAACGCGTAGTCACACCCAATGGCTTCATTTAGATATATGTGTGTGAATAAATGTCGAAAGGATTAACATACCTTTATTCGTGATCATTTGCCGTTGTTGCTTTTAATGCTCCAATTAAACACAAAGGACATAAGATTTCTGGCTCAGACGTGCGAGATAACATATTTCCTAAATACTGCGACGTGCATGGAAGAATCAAGGCTGGAGATGTTAGTAATTCTGTTTCCAACGACGGGATAATGTCTGTTTTGTATTGAGAGATTGGAAAGTGATGTCCACAAGTAAATATCATATTATCTTCTTCCGTTGTAAGCAAGTGATTTACAGCATTCGAGTCCTGTTTTAATTTAATGTTAAAAAGTTAAGTATGATGCAAATTCGATCTCCAACCTGCGTGTTGAGTATTAACTATATAATTAGTGCAATATACGCTCTTTCACGCACACGCACGCACGCACGCACACACACACACACCCATATAGATGGCCATCTCAGATAAATATTACCTTGATATGTGCGAATAATTTGGAATCTTCCATTTCGGAAAGTATTGTATTAACGGTTCCTTCCATCATTTGTTCTGAATTATTATTTTTATTTGTACCTGGATATCCATTTAAAGGTGTTCCGTAATTGTCCGCCGTCAAAGAGGAGAAAATTTTAATATATTCCGGCATAATGTCATCTGAAAATAACAATTTCACTATATATATTACACTAATCTATTATATCTTAAAAATAACTTGAAAGATAAAAATATCAAGCTAACAACCTTCATCGATACGTTGCATTAACATTGACAATACTTGAAGACAGAATTTAACTGAGAATAAATTATTCACGCACCAGTCCTTTCCTTCGTACTTGCTTACATTTAAGTATCTTTCTATTACATCCTGACTGTGAAATGATAATGAATAAAAACTGATGCTTGTTATTAATTTGTCTTGTCATATTTTAATTATGATGCTATCAGGGATTCCGAAACTGTCCAATACTTTGCAGCTTAGATTTCAGTTTTATAGCATATAATAAATTTTTATATAATATATATTTACATTTTCTGTAAAAAATTTCCTACTTCAGAAAAATACTTAATATTACAACTAAATAATATGAATTTTTGACGAGTCTTGAAATCCCCCTGCATCTTTAAATAAATATATCACATTCCAAAATATAGGATAATCGTATAACAAAAATACAATTATTTAAGGCTCTATAAAGGGATAACAAGGTGTCATTTACCAAAAAAGTAATAGTCCAAGAGGATAATAAACAATATGTATATGTTCGAGAAAAATATTCTCCAAATATTGTATCGGTAATTTGTGCTCAATCCAAAAACCAATTGTACTTTGCAATATTTCACATTTTACAGTATTTGATTCATTATTGATATTTTTCAAATAAAACTTTAATACTTTCATTGTTTCGTTAACTATGTAATTTTTTTTAGAATAGGGGGATATTTTATCCGACAATACAGTCTTCTCTTTATTTTTATCGCACCGATTGTCACTGACAATTGACATTGTTTTCGTGCAGATCGTTGTATTTTGCATAGAGTTACAAGTAATGTTTTTATGTTGCAGAAGCGAATTGTTTTCATCAAAAATAAGATCTGTAATCCATTCCTGTTGTTCATCTTCATTAAAGTTATATTCGGTGTTGGAGTGATCTGCATTAACGTTTGGTGAAGAATCGTCCTTTTTTCGAGTTTTGTATAATTCTTCTGAACCACCTTGACAATCAAAAGAATATAATTCTTGTGCGAGTGTTTGCAAATTATTCAATGATCTACTGGCGGAAATTTTCGTCCAGCTTCGAGCGACGCTGTTTTCCAAGGATTCTATGAGATTCTTCTCCGCTTGTGTATTAAATAATTCAGTATTTTTTTTTATATTTTGGGACGATAGAGAATCTCTCACATCTAAGTAATTTTGTGAACTAATCTTGATTGTGGAGTCTGTTGTTTCATGTGAAATTTCCGACATCGAATAATCTTTGAATTGAAGACTCAACTTATGTAACATTTTCAACTGATAAGTGAAAGCAGCTAAAACATTATTTTCTAATGCTGCTATTTTAGAACAAGCTTGATAATTCTCTAATTCGATACACTGTAACAGAAAAAATCTATCTCAGCTGTTTTAATAACAATATCGTTGTGTTATATTTTGTTTCAAATTGAAATTCAAATATTCAATTTAACATATTTGACTATAAAAAAATTAATGTTGCATATCATTTTACAAAAAAAGAACTTTATAATTAATATACCACGTTGCGGTCTTCTCAATGGAAGAAATAGGTACTGACACGTTTTTATTTAAAACATTCTTTTGTCAAATATGGAAGAAACATAATTTATGTGAGATATTAATTTTGACTATGACTGATAGAATAAAACGATAAATGTTTTCTTCTTTTAATTATTATTATGTTAAATCTTTTTTTTATTAATTTTCAGAGATAAAACAATCAACTAACCTTTTCCATAATATTGGAGGAGTTATATAAACTGTGGAAATATTCCAAAACATAATGAAGAGTTAAATCTCCAGGTGATTTTTCGATAACACTTAAAGGACAGACGAATCCGGCGAGAGAAAACACGTCATTAGATCGATAAGATATCACTGGCTTAGAAATACCAGGTACTTGACTAGGAACATCCAAAGCTATGTGCAACGCATTAGGGAGTCGTACTATTCGCTTTGATGATTTCAGTAATACGAGTTTATCATCAGCATCTCGTGAATCTTTCGCAGGAATACGACCCAATTGTGCTCTACTGTTATTACCCCAAGCTAATACTGTACCTCCTAAAAGAAATAGTATAATCTTTATAATATATTTCTTTTTTTTCAAATTATTAAAAACAGAGTATTATACAAAAGAGAAAAAATAACGATTATAACATAAAAAGATTCAATTACATGTATAGTTACATGTATATTCAATTATATATATTTTTAAATAGATAGGAATATTATATCAAATAATTAACAGCTCGATTAAATTAGATTAAATTTGAGAGATTCAAAATGTATTGAGTGCCAAATGTCTTGGTATTAAGATAGATAATTTAATTAGTGAATATATATATATATATATATCTTGCTTCTTTGTAACCTGGTTGTATCGCGATTGTATAATCATATCCACAGGCAACACCAACAGCATTAATTACAGGATTGGCTCTCTCTTTACTTAAGCCAGCATTTTCTACATATATCGACGAATCACTGCTATTCCCATTGTTCTCAGGCAAATTTCCATTATTTGCCAGTGAATAATTCGATTTAGTGTCAGTGTCCAAGTCTCGTTGATTTTGTATTCTTTTAAAATCATTATGTCTAGGAGGTATTTGTGCAAAAATACAGGCTGAATTATAAGATAAAGGTGTCGGAATTGATACTTCTCGTCGCGTGCCGTTACCTATTTGACCATCCAAATTACGGCCCCATGTATATAAAGAGCCATCTTTCGTTATCAATGCGTTATGATGACAGCCAGCAGATATCTGTACAAACAGTCACAAAATATACACGATTCTTTTTTACTAACGTTACGAATATAATATTTTCTGCGCGTTTAGTTTAAAGATAAATATTAAAGATAAATATCCGTAACATTTATTAAATTAAGTACCGCATATAAACAAGTTTCCTTATATTACAAACCTGATTAATTTGACCTTTTACCAAACTTGTGTCAATAATACATGGTTTTAAATGTGTTTGACTCTCTTCGGTCATATCAAAGTTAAAATCTTTCAAATGTGCGTTTTCAGTCCCGAGCTTTTTTTGCGTTTCTATATCAGTTTGAGAAGACTTAGTTTGTACATCATCTTTCTTATTCAAGAATTCTTTTTTTATTTTTCCGTTTAGATTTGTAGTATCACTTGGTATTTTCTCCAATTCTCCTAAAGCCTTATTCCTTTTCTCATTAGCATCTTGTTGCTCTAATATACGAGTCTTCTTTTGCGCTTGTGCTTGCAATCTAAGAACTTGAGGACTCGCACCCCATATATATAATTTATTTGTATTACTGACAGCTAACTGCAAACATAGAATAGAATACGCGTCTAAAATCGTTATTGTTGATGTTAAAACATAAAGATATTAATTATAAAAATATAAAGATGTTAAAATATAGAGATTCATTAAAAATATAGATTTTTTACGAAAAACAACGAGCAGTTTTAATTTTAATGATTATAATATTACGTTGCATAAAAAAAGAGAAAAGAAATGAAATGATTAAATCTTATCAATTAACGCACGCGCGCACGTATGTGTGTATATGACACAAGTTAGGTATGTTTACCGACTTACATTATGAAAGTATCCAGTACTTATAAGCGTTATACCATCGGGTAACGATACTTTTATCGGAATAGAACTTTTGGTATTATCACCTGTTCCTAATTGGCCAAGAATATTACATCCGAAAGCATATACAACACCGTCTATTGATAGCGCCAAAGTGTGCGCATATCCAGCACTGATACAACACACGACTACGCCAAGCAAAGCTGTGACCAAAGATGGTGTAGCCTTATCATCGGTATTGCCGTGGCCCAGTTGACCATGAACACCCCAACCCCACGTAAATATTCTGCCATCTGCAGTTAGTGCTACAGAATGATACTGTCCAGCTATTGCATCGATAATAATTTCTTGCGCCAGCGAAGTAATCAACTCTGGACTTGAACATTGCAGCACTTTACCCACTCCTAACTGACCAAATTGACTAGCTCCCCAAGCATAGATTCCATTATTAGTAACTGCCAGGGTATGGCAATGTCCACATGATACACTAAAAACTTCAATCTTCATACTTTTGAAGAAACATATAGCATGAGGTGTCCCATATCGTAAAACGCTAGAGCCGGTACCTAATAG